TCGTGCTTGACCAATCTTGTAGCCTTTTATGAGGAAATAACATGGTGGATGGATGATGGTAGAGCGGTGGATGTGGTCTACCTCGACTTCAGCAAAGCGTTTGACACGGTCTCCCACAGCATCCTTGCGGCTAAATTGAGGAAGTGTGGTCTGGATGATCGGGTAGTGAGGTGGACTGTGAACTGGCTGAAGGAGAGAAGCCAGAGAGTTGTAGTCTATGGGGCGGAGTCTAGTTGGAGGCCTGTATCTAGTGGAGTACCTCAAGGGTCGGTACTGGGACCAGTATTATTTAATATATTCATCAACGATTTAGATGAGGGAATTGAGTGTACTATCAGCAAGTTTGCTGATGACACTAAGCTGGGAGGGGTGGCCGACACGCCAGAAGGCTGTGCTGCCATCCAGAGGGACCTGGACAGGCTGGAGAGCTGGGCGGGGAATAACTTCATGAAATATAACAAGGGAAAGTGTAGAGTCCTGCATCTGGGCAGGAACAACCCCAGGTTCCAGTATAGGCTGGGGAACGACCTGTTAGAGAGCAGTGTAGGGGAGAGGGACCTGGGGGTCCTGGTGGACGACAGGGTGACCATCAGCCGACACTGTGCCCTTGTGGCCAAGAAGGCCAATGGCATCCTGGGTTGTATTAGAAGGGGGGTGGTTAGTAGGTCGAGAGAGGTCCTCCTTCCCCTCTACTCTGCCCTGGTGAGACCTCATCTGGAATATTGTGTCCAGTTCTGGGCCCCTCAGTTTAAAAAGGACAGGGACCTGCTGGAGAGGTTCCAGCGCAGGGCAACTAAGATGATTAAAGGAGTGGAGCATCTCCCTTATGAGGAAAGACTGAGGGAGCTGGGTCTCTATAGTTTGGAGAAGAGGAGATTGAGGGGTGACCTTATTAGTGTATATAAATATATAAAGGGGGAGTGTCACGAGGATGGAGCCAGGCTCTTCTCAGTGGCAAACAATGAAAGGACAAGGGGTAATGGGTACAAATTGGAGCACAAGAGGTTCCACTTAAACTTGAGAAGAAACTTCTTCTCAGTGAGGGTGACAGAACACTGGAACAGGCTGCCCAGGGGGGTTGTGGAATCTCCTTCTTTGGAGACATTCAAGACCCGCCTGGACACGTTCCTGTGTAACCTTATCTAGGTGTTCCTGCTCCGGCAGGGGGATTGGACTAGATGATCTTTTGAGGTCCCTTCCAATCTCTAACCTACTGTGATACTGTGATACTGTGATACTCATTAAATTAGGAAGTGGAATTTGCTCTGTCTTGCAGATCTAACAGACTTAGATCTCTCCTCTGCTATGGCCTCACCTTATCATCCAGGTTGTGTACTCACATATTATTCAACAAATGAACTTTATCAAATAAATGGAACATTGCATATCACAATAATGATGCTCCCTGGGCATACAATTGAAAGACTATTCTTTACGAGCCGAGTGAGCACTTGAAAAATCTGATGTTCTGTGAAGTGGGTAATTTTTGTTATGATTATGCTTTTTCCCTGGCCACCACACTTACATCAAATGTATAAAAAAGATGCCAGTCTTTTTTCAAATTCTAAGTAGGTAGAGCAGTGAATTTTTTTTCGAATGAGTCTTTTTTTCCTTTCTAGAGATTAACTTGCCCTTTATTTTCTTTTTGCACATCTGTGATTCATCTGTATTTCTTATTTTACTATAAAACCATATTACTGCCTGTACACCTCTGCATTTAATCGTTTAATGTCACCATAATATGACAAGGCTCTCCTGCACTATTTACAAATTCAGCATCCACAAAGTCAGACAAGCAAGCACACTGACCATGAACAGCCATGATCAACTTGGCTGCTGCTGAGCTCTTTGAGACAATCTTTTGAATCTCCCTTCTATTTGTTTCTTCAGGGAGTGGGGAGATCAGACTAATGATGAAGTCAGTTCATCAAGCAGTGTTTGTCATACCATATGCATAACCAAATCAGAAGGTCAAGCCTGAGGAGGGATCAAGGCTGGGACAGATGTGGAAATATGAAACATCTGGCTTTCTAGAACCAATGAAGTCACCACTCACTCCTGGGAATTCTTCACATCTCCAAGGTAATCCATCTCTTCTGGTAATGCTATATCATCATTGTATCATCTTTCTTTTACATTTACATAGAAGGTTATGAATCTTAAAAGACACCATTAGCCTAGCAACCACACCTCAGACACAAAAATCTTTCTTGCATGTTAAAATTAACAGCCTGAATACAACTAAGGCACCAGGCAGAAACACTTGTTTTACTGTATTTTCTTTACATATGGTTGGGTTAGTGGTATTAATTCAAAATCAGAACACTTAATTTTGGGCCAGCCATCTCCTGGGTAATAGCTCTTTACAAGACATGGAGGTAAAGAACATCAGTGGTGACAGAGGTTACACTTTTGCAAAGAAACTTGGAACAAACGCACAACCTTGCCTGGAAGAAAAGTCCTGATGTGAATACTGCAGACAAAATCATCACAGTTAACTTTGCAGTAGCAGAATTTGTTCAAAGCCTGACAACCAGTTCTGGAATTAGACGTCTTGATAATTCAATGTCTGCCTTTATTTTCTATTCCTTGTTCCTTCCCACCTTCCTTTGTGCCTTTCCTCCTTGCTGCTTCCCTTGGTCCATCCTCCCTTTTGCTTTCCTTCTCTCCCTTCCTCACTTCCACATTCCTTTCTTCCATATTCTATTCACTAAGTATTTTTTTATGTTTCTATGCAGAACACTGGTTCACAAGTAAGTCCTACATGTACATGTTATCATTGTCATTAGTGTTATTGGTATTATTGTTATTTATATGAAGAGAAAACATAAAAGATTGAAGGGGCTAGTCTACACCTTATGGGCTGTACTGACTGACTGTGAATACTAAAGGGTCTTTAAAGGCATTTAAAGTTCAAATTCTGGTTGAAGGAGAAAGAAGGCAGCAGCGACAGCTGTCCAGTATTATGAGCCATATACATTGCAATGGCACAGTGGACATGCATGCTGCTGTCATGTCTTCCATCAGAAGTCGTCCTGGGGATCATCTTTATGCCACTGTCCCAGGAACATGCCAGGTCATTGTGATACATGTAAATGATAGTCATGTTCATATATAACTAATGAGGAAGGCTGACCACTTTTTGATGGATGCATGAACTGTTGGTTACTGAACAGAATACTGTGCTTTTGGCAAGTTAAACCGTATAAAAAAGTATCTTCTATTTTGCAGAATTACAGAATCATAGAATAGTTAGGGTTGGTTGCCATGAGCAGGGACACCTCACACTAAACCATGTCATGCAAGGCTTGGCCTTGAACACCGCCAGGAATGGAGCATTCACAACTTCCCTGGGCAACCCATTCCAGTGCCTCACCACTCTTACAGTAAAGAACTTCTTCCTTATACCCAATCTAAACTTCCCCTGTTTAAGTTTGAGTCCGTTACCCCTTGTCTGTCACTACAGTATCTAATGAACGGTCCCTCCCCAGCACCCTTACGGGCCCCTTTCAGATACTGGAAGGCTGCTATGAGGTCTCCACGCAGCCTTCTCTTCTCCGGGCTGAACAGCCCCAACTTTCTCAGCCTGTCTTCATATGGGAGGTGCTCCAGTCCCCTGATCATCCTCGTGGCCCTCCTCTGGATTTGTTCTAACAGTTCCATGTCCTTTTTATGTTGAGGACACCAGAACTGCACACAATACTCCAAGTGAGGTCTCATGAGAGCAGAGTAGAGGGGCAGGATCACCTCCTGCAACTTGCTGATCATGCTGTTGATGCAGCCTAAGACATGGTTGGCTTTCTGGGCTGCAAGCGCACACTGGCGGCTCATGTTCTGTCTCTCATCAACCAACACCCTCAAGTCCTTCTCTGCAGGGCTGCTCTGAATCTCTTCTCTGCCCAACCTGTAGCTGTGCCTGGGATTGCTCCGACCCAGTTGTAGGACCTTGCACTTGTCATAGTTAAACTTCATAAGGTTTCATCAACCCACCTCACAAGCGTGTCAAGGTCCCTCTGGATTGCATTCTAATCAGAACTTCTGCAGATTTCTGAGTACAAGGGCAGCCTTTTTTTTTTTTTTTTAACATTTCCTAACTCTTTTTCCCCGTTCTCCTTCAGTGGTATTACCTACTCTATGCCATACTTTCAACTTTTGTTAAAAGGTATTGCTGTAGATGAAGTCACAAAAACTCAGTTTCAGAAAATGAAACTTCTGAGCCACTATTTCCCCTTGTGTGTTACCCTACACCAAGTGTTGCAGACTGTCATCAGCTTGGAATTTCAGGAAGCTGTGATATGAACTGAGAACAAAGCTTAGAAGAAAGATTAAGTTACAGAACTGAAGCACATCTATTTAATCCTTTTGAAACCCCTGGAACTGAATCCCAGGTTTTTTACAGTGTGATTTTGCTTCAAAACCACTTCTGCAAAAGCAGCCTGATGGAGCTCCCTGAAACTGTTGACAGATCTTGGGTTCCTCAAGACAGTGTAAGCATGCATTAAAGGGATAGCCTTGCTGCTGCAGAATAGAAGTCTTGGAGGCAAGCTATTTTCTTCTCATGTCACAAATCTCAATGATAAATTAATAGCCCTAGTGACACTTGTGAATTCTACAGCACCATTAAAATAGGATACCAGTGCCAGATAATTATGCTTCCTCATGAGGTTTCTGTAGTTGAAAGAGGTAGAATTTTAATCATGATATGCCTAAGGATGACTGAACTGTAATAATACCCATACTCTAGTAGCTGGATTTTGTCATGTCAAAGAAATATAGAGGAATTTACATAGGAACAGATCGGTTGGATTAATCACTCTAAGTGAAAAAATACAGATTAAGGCAAACAAAAGTCAGCACAATATAATAACTTTCTAGAGTCTCTGGATAACAGTGTTTGTGAAATGCTTCAACAGACACCTGAAAGATTGATCAGAACAATGCACTAGGCTCTCTCTGCATGCACTAGGCTCTCTCTGCATGTAAGGAACGTGTGGACATACCAGCTCCTTCTTCTTCATGCACTCCATGAGGATAATGAAGAGGTGCTGTGCCTGGGTTCGGGTGTATGTGAAAGTCTTCTGTATGGTAACTAGCAACTGATCCCTCAAAGACTCATTGATAAGTCTGAAATTCAAAAGGAAAACATAAATTAGAAAAACAGATATGAGAGAATATTGCAATTTCAGCAAAGAGTTTACCAAGTAAGAGCTAGACAAGAATCACTGCAGGTTGTTTCTCACAGGTCTGAAGGACAAGAATTGCTGGAACTATCAGAGAAAATCTGGGAAACACCGCTCTAGAAAAACACACTGATCACAGAATAGTTAGGGTTGGAAAGGACCTTAAGATCAGGCTTGAACACTGCCAGGGATGGAGCATTCACAACTTCCCTGGGCAACCTATTCCAGTGCCTCACCACCCTCACAGTAAAGAACTTCCTTATATCCAATCTAAACTTCCCCTGTTTAAGTTTTAACCCATTACCCCTTATCCTGTCACTACGGTCCCTAATGAACAGTCCCTCCCCAGCATCCCTGTAGGCCACCTTCAGTTACTGGAAGGCTATGACGCCTCCACACACCTTTCTCTTCTCCAGGCTGAACAGCCCCAACTTCCTCAGCCTGTCTTCAAACGGGAGCTGCTCCGTGCCCCTGATCATCTCCGTGGCCCTCTTCTGGATTTGCTCCAACAGTTTCATGTCCTTTTCATGATGAGGGCATAAAAAGGACATGGAGCTGTCTTCATACGGAAGGTTTTCCAGTCCCCTGATTATCCTCGTCCTTTACTGGACTTGTTCCAACAGTTCCATGTCCTTTTTATGTTGAGGACACCAGAACTGCACACAATACTCCAAGTGAGGTCTCACAAGAGCAGAGTAGAGGGGCAGGATCACCTCCTTTGACCTGCTGGTTATGCTTCTGTTGATGCAGCCCAGGATATAGGTTGGCTTTCTCAGCTTTGAGTGACACCGCTGGCTCATTTTATGTTGGGGTCCCTCATGTCCAAAGTTTTTACTTCAGTTCCTACTTGTTGCATGACAGGTCATTCAAACTATCAGCTCTGTGGGATTTCATAACAAAAAACCAGAAACATCTCAACAATCTCAGTTTGAGGGAGAACAACACTTAGGTGCTGAAGACTTCTTCCTATCTATGAGTGAGAATTCAACGCATGGTTAATTTTATGAAATTGAGAGTATTTGCATTGTTAGTGGTTTTGATTTTAGCTTGAATATCCCAACAGTTTCAACTCACCTTACTGAAGTTGCACACGAGCAGGTAAGAAAACAAGCTCTGTTCCTGTGCCCAGTCAAAGAAACTATTTTGCTTTTGTTCATGCTGATCTTCCATGAGTTTAAAGTGTAACCATTTTTACATTCCTCCTCAGTTCTAATGTTAGTACTTGCAAAGAGTGGCCCAACATCAGAAATAAATAGTAACATTACATGAAATATTAGCACTTGGACTAGATCTTTGCTATCAAAAAAGCCTATTCCTTAGGATTGTTCTGGGTGAAACACTACTGTTCTTACTGTCTCAAAAAGTAGTCTGCTCTGATTTAGAACATGTATTCTTTAATGTATGAAAGTTTCTACACTATAACATTTTTCTCACAAAAAAAAAAGTAACTGTTTCAAATTAGCTGAGTCAGAAAATTTTACAGACGAAGTCACTGTTGATCATCTGAGGAAGTGAAAATCAGAGAACCTTCATGACTCGTATTTCATGACAAAAGATGAACAAAGGTTTAGCCCTCTAGCAACTGTGAAGAATTATCAGAATCAGCATAGTATCTAAAAGTCACTCTTAGCTTACGGAAGCTGCTTTTGAAGAGCAATGAGCAAACCCCTGCTTATTTCATATTGTTAGTAAAAGTTGTCTGTACTTCTGTGCAGCAAGAAAGCTCAAATGAGACTGCAGGATATTCATTACACAGCTGAATTTCAAATACGATTTAACTATCTAGTCTTTATAACTACAGCAAACATGTCATTAGAAGAGAAAAAAAATAGTAATGGGAAAGAGGTATACAGCTGCATAGGAGAATATAGGACGCCTAGCATATGGAGTGCATATATTCTCTGCTCTCTAGATTTGACTTTGACTGTAAATATCCCTGTTGAGTAGGGCTTTCACTTCACAAAGAAGCCTGTAAGGCATATGTCAATGTGTTTGGATTAAAATGAGTTTACATGGGATTTAAAACCATGCTGTGGATCACTGTTCATTGTATGCCTATGACGATGCTGTCTTCTACTTTATTACAGACTTCTCCTGAATGGAACACATTTCCTCTTTTCACCAAGGAGCCCCACGGCCACAGAGGTGCTTTTTCCTGAGATACCGGAGAGGTGGCAACACTGCATTTACTGCTCACTCACCATGTAAACACTCCTTCCCTACAGCGTTACCTGCTTCCCCCACCAAAGGGCAACATACGATGAGTCAAAACCTCCAGTTCTCTTGGTGGGCAGCAATGAGAGCTGACAGAAGAAGGCATTCTGTGTGTGGGCTTTAAGAAAAATAAACTGACCTCCTGGATAGAAGTAAGGATGTTGTAAGCACATGGGAACACAAAAAAATATGTCAGAGCATGGGCAGAAATATCAATTTGCGCCATGTTAAAGAGAGTAAACTGGGAAAGACTGACATCCTGAAAAAGCACTAATGTTACTTTGAGTTGCAGATTAGTAGGTCATAGAATCATAGAATAGTTAGGGTTGGAAAGGACCTTAAGATCATCATGTTCCAACCCCCCCTGCCATGGGCAGGGACACCTCACACTAAACCATATCACCCAAGGCCTCGTCCAACTTGGCCTTGAACACTGCCAGGGATGGAGCATTCACAACCTCCTTGGGCAACCCATTCCAGTGCCTCACCACCCTAACAGGAAAGAATTTCCTCCTTATATCCAATCTAAACTTCCCATTTAAGTTTTAACCCATTACCCCTTGTCCTACCACTACAGTCCCTAATGAAGAGTCCCTCCCCAGCATCCCTATAGGCCCCCTTCAGATACTGGAAGGCTGATATGAGGTCTCCATACAGCCTTCTCTTCTCCAGGCTGAACAGCCCCAACTTTCTCAGCCTATCTTCATACAGGAGGTGCTCCAGTTACCTGATCATCCTCGTGGCCCTCCTCTGGACTTGTTCCAACAGTTCCATGTCCTTTTTATGCTCAGGACACCAGAACTGTACACAATACTCCAAGTGAGGTCTCACGAGAGCAGAATAAAGGGGCAGGATCACCTCCTTTGACCTGCTGGTCATGCTCCTTTTGATGCAGCCCAGGATACCGTTGGCTTTCTGGTCTGCGAGCGCACACTGAAGCCGGCTCATGTTCATTTTCTGATCGACCAGCACCCCCAAGTCCTTGTCTGCAGGGCTGCTCTGAATCTCTTCTCTGCCCAACCTGTAGCTGTGTCTGGGATTGCTCTGACCCAGTTGTAGGACCTTGCACTTGGCATGGTTAAACTTTATGAGGTTGGCATCAGCCCACCTCACAAGCGTGTCAAGGTCCCTCTGGATGGCATTCCTTCCCTCCAGCGTATCAACCGAGCCACACAGCTTGGTGTCATCGGCAAACTTGCTCAATCCCACTGTCCATGTCAGCAACGAAGATGTTAAACAAGACTGGTCCCAACACCGATCCCTGAGGGACACCACTTGTTACTGGTCTCCAGCCGGACATTGAGCCATTGACCACAACCCTTTGTGTGCGGCCATCCAGCCAGTTCTTTCTCCACCGAATGGTCCATTCATTAAATTGATGTCTCTCAAATTTAGAGACAAGGATGTCATGTGTGACATCAGCTGCTCTACCGCTGTCCATCAGTTCTGTAGCCCCATCATAAAAGGCCACCAAATTGGTCAGGCAGGACTTCCCTTTAGTGAAGCCATGCTGGCTGTCACCAAGCACCTTGTTGTTTTTCATGTGCCTTAGCATGCCTTCCAGGTCATATACAACACGAATTATGAAGCCCCTTTCTTGGGCTTTAAAAAAAAAATAAAATTGCAAATTTGCTTTAATCAAGAAGACTGTCCTTAAACAAAACGGTGCTCTCACAGTAAATATAAATGGTTCAGAGCTATGGAATTTTCCATCCTTCAAACTAAGAAAGTAAAAAGAAGTTAATCTCTAAGAACATAAACTGGAGGATCTAAAAGGAGATGTAAATAATGCTCTGATTTCCTTTGGAAATGACATATGAAAATGAAGTACATTAAGAAGTCTGAAAAGTATACGAAAAAAATGCATCGAATTGGAAAAATCTGAAAATAGAGAACTTCAGAAAACATTTCCAAAGATCAGGGTTGAAAATAATCCTGTTTTCTCATCACAATTCAATTTCCTTAAAAAAAAGTGTAAAATCCAAACTTGAAATTTTATTACAGAAATTGGCTCTCTGTCAGGCTAATACACACAGCAAGAGAAATTTGCTTTTGTAAGCACTGACTGAAAGCAGAATTAAGTCCTAAGGCTTCATCAGCAGGCATCATTTTCTTTTCCTAAATTAAAGCTATCAGAAACTGTCATATCATGAATTTAAATAGCATGTAGAACAAGCTCCATGTGAAAGATATGGAGATTTTTAAATGAAAAAAAGTATCAAGAAGTGGTTCCTTAACTACAGGATAAACATCTGTTGAAGCACCACTGCTCAGAAACTTCCTGTTGCCAGCATTTGACTAAAGCAGTTTTCTAGCCTTACTAAGTACTTTTTGTTTTAACAACTCACTGGTCTGCAGTTCTACAGCACACATTTTCAATGTCTTTGTGAGATCAAAAACTTGAAGTGATTCTAATAAAAAATAGAAACAATAACAGCAAGTTCTCTGATAAAGTAATTGTAGCCGAGTTAAACTGTAAACTGAAAACAGTCATATCAAGACTGTATCACACTTACTCCTTAGGAATCTATAAATGTTAAAGGTATCAGATCAAAGTGCCCAATTGAGTAACCCAGTTGGGACAAACGCAAACTGTGCCAGACTGTTAAAGGCTAAATCTATGATGCATACACCAAGTCCAATGCATGTTAAACTACTAACTTCACAGACTACTCTGAGCAAAATAACTGTGACTTGCAGCTGGGGAGATGATTTATCCACTGTGCAAAG